ATCGCTTTAATTTCATTAAAAACAGCTCAGAAACTAAAAAAAGGGAAGAAGTTCAACAACAACTTTTGTGTCTGGATTTTTGCTTTTTGAAATATGGCAGCCCTATAGTCCTATCCATCAGACAATATGAAAAATGTTTGTTGTACAGCAATGTGGTTTCTTCAGCCACCTTTTGGACACTTGATAATTGTAACTTACAAGGGTATTGCAGAGCAGGATGGGGCAAGATCAGGGAAGCCAACTGGTCACTCTCAACTAATATAGCCACCACAGTCGTGCCCCACTATTCCATCCACTCCTGCTATTCATCTCCAAAAGGAGTCAGGGATGCTTTGTAGTCCTTTTGTAAGAAAGCAGGCGGGGATGAAACATCTTGAAGTGCTTAGAAAATGAAGCTTTTTTGCTTAACAAAGCTTCATTTGCATTTTAGGAGCTGCTTTTTAGGGAGGGTGGCAGGTAGTCTATGTCTACTTTTGTCACTGTTTCCAATCAACTTGGGGTGGGGTGGCTGAATGTAAACAAGCTAGCATTCTAATTGACATGTCTAGCATCTTCTGTGGATTTATGCTAACTGGGCCTATGATTATTAAAATAAACCTCAAATATACTTTTTGATGTTTAAAACCCGAACCATAATGCCTATTAAATTTTGCCAAGATTTTGCCAAAGTACACCTCTACATTCCATGTGAATTTCATGCCAATATCTCAAAAAACAAACAAACAAAAAAGCTGTAAAGACATTTTAAAATGCTCACAATCCAAAAGTGCCTAGCATACCCCTTGACCCATTTCTCTGAAATTCTCTAGGCTTCATTTTCACAGAAGCTACTTGCAAATTGTATCCAGTTCTGTTAAAAATGTAAATGTTTCAGTTCCACTGTGATTTGTCCACTTAAATCTGCAGGGAATGATAACAAAGCTTTGTTTAAGAAATGAAGTGGGAATAAAATGAAACAACAAAAGGAAGCAATTCCCAAAGCAAAGCATCAAATACGAACCGTGTGTGTGTGTGTGTGTGTGTGTGTGTGTGTGTGTGTGTATTATTCAACTCACATTGGAATATTATTCAACTAAGTTACACTCAAAATAGACCTACACTGGATATCACAGATGTGCTTGTTTTTTAAGTCATGCATCATAGGGGGTGTGGGGGTGTGGCAATCATTTTATTTGCTTGCTATATATTTCCCAGTAGTTTTTCCTAATGAAGCTTAAAATTGGATCTTCATTTCCTTTCCGATCTATTGGGGCATGTTTCTCTCCTCTTTTGCCTCCATACTGTCTTTCACCTTCAGCTGTTTCAGTTTGCATGCCCTTCATTTGTTCTGCACAAGCATTTCTGTTTTTCTTCTCCATTGTTTCACCCAACACAGTTATTCTAGTCTGCACAATTTCCACATACCTTCTCCTCCCATAACTCTTTCTGGTTCCTCATTCCAATAGTGCAGGAAACATATTCTGTTCTCTCCATTTATTTCAGATATTCGTTTCTCATTTGCCTTCTTCATGCTGAAACTTTTTGGCCCAGTTTTTGAGCGGATGGAACATTTGTTTCTGGCACCAGGCCTGCAGGGACCGTAAAACAGCTGCTAAACACTAATAGCACTATGTTGCTTTGTAGCTGCTGGTCCAAGTGGAAGGAGCAAGCAGCTCAGCAACATAAGGCTGTACTCCCCAGCCACCCCCAAGCTACTGTGCACAGTCTAGTGACAGGCAAGCAAGGAGGCAGCAGGATGACCTGCAGGGCATCCAAATTCTCAGGGCAAGTTTGTCTAGTCTTATGTTTTCTGACATGTTAGCTTCCTCAAGGCTTGTTTCACGTGTGACCCACAATGCCAAGCACAGTTTTCTAGCTGTGACAGAAGGTAGGCCTTTTTACCTCATAAATTATCATGGATATTCCTTCAGTCAGAACATCAGAAGTCAGCTGAAGAACGTAGAATAGATATTCTGCCCCAGCCGCAACCCAAAGTTCTCTGCATACAGAACTTCCAGTGACCTTTTCCATCTCAACTTACTGAAGTGTCAGGAGAATAAATATCAGGTGGTAACCCAATATAGGACCTTCTAAGAGGGGGTGTCCTGATTCTGCCATGTACCCTGGAAGTATCACTGGTGCCAATGTTCTTCTTATGCTGTCATTAGACAAAGATTGCTTGTTCATTAATGGGACATTAGCTGCTTCTGCAATTGGGAGCCATAGGAGACTCCATGAGTGCTTGTATGGCTGATGACTTTTGTTTTTATCCACTCCTAATTGCTCTGTGGTTTTTTTAGTATTTTTTATTAAAGATTTCTTGCTTTACAAAAGTATGTGCAATGTCTCTTTTTCAAGTTACATTTTCTACAGATCAGTTCCATTTGTTGAGACATTAGTGTTACATTAGGAAGAGACGGGGAAAAGAGGTGGAGGTGGCCATGATGAGGGGGGGGGGGTGTCGGATGGCGATGTTTCTATTTTACTTAATGTATATGTGAGGTTTTATGTCAGCATCACTTGTGAGGGTTCTCTTTGCTATTTGCTTATGTTCCTTTGGTGGTGAGAGAGATTGGGGTTGGCCTAGGGCAGGGGTCTGCAACCTTTAAGACAAAAAGAGCCACTTGGACCCATTTCCAAAGGGAAAAAAACTGGGAGCCGCAAAACCATTGCAACATTTAAAGCATGCGCGCCGCTGCCCTCTAATCTGACAGCGGGCGGGAAGGTGACGTCGGGACGGTGCGTGACTAACGCACACACCGCCCCCATGCGACATCACAGCCAGTACAGCGCCCGCCACAGTGGGGAGTGTCGGGGCGCACAATGCGCCTCCTCCCCTCGCCCCGGAGCCGCGGTAAAGGTGTAAAAGAGCCACATGCGGCTCCGGAGCCGCGGGTTGCAGACCCCTGGCCTAGGGTGTGGTTGTTTGTTTGTGAATGGCTGTGGTGAATTTTGTTTTCATGTGTGAGTGGGGTGGGTGGGTGTTTTTGAATCAGGTTAGTCATATTGATTTGTATGCTGTTGGTGGATTCTTGTGGTTGCCTTGTTGGGCTGTGTGCTGTTTTGTTTTTTAAACTACAATGTGACCTGCCCTAGTATCATTTAAGAAAGGGAAAACTGAAGTATAGAAGAAAGAAAGAAAGAAAGAAAGAAAGAAAGAAAGAAAGAAAGAAAGAAGGAAGGAAAGAATAACCTCTATGTCTGCATCTGAATTAGTTTGGTTTTCTAAAGGCGACCTAATGTTGCCTTCATTTTATTTGCATTGATTGTGTTTCACGTTAGTTATTGACAAATTAATTTTAATCTTTGTTTTAGTTTTACCTCATCTTTGTTTTTACATTAATTTCAATGGAGAGCCAGTGCTGCCTGTAACACTGATGCTTTCCATCCAAATGGCATGCATTTTGTAGCCTTAATTATCAGATCTACCATATTTCATATAGATTGGTGAAAGAGTGCCCACCTTATAGGCAGTTAAAAAGATGCACATCCCATAAGTTCCTCAGTGATTTAAGTGGGAGACCCAGTGAAATTTACCCTGCTTGTAACTATTTCAGTTCAGATGTTGGGAAATTTGTAGGCAATCTGTTTCCATCTCTGTGCAACAGGCCTGCCAAACTGCAGACAGATTAGACAAAAGCCTCACTATTTGATTATTGGAGACTTTTTGCAGACATTGAACCGACGTTTCTTTGCTTCAGATGAGACACTTGACATGCTATGTCAGTTTTGCAAGTCTTTCAACTCTATACAGAGAAATGCATCAGTATACAATACACTGCAGTGCTTCTTTTCAACTTTAGGAATGTATCCATTTGTAAAACTGTGCCTCCTAAGTAAAACAAATGCAAGAAACTAAAATGAAGGTAAGAAACTAAAGTAAAGGGACTTGCACTAGTTTCTTACATTGAAACTAATGTGAAACTAATATGAGAACTATATACTAACAGCGAGCTCGTTCTCCAAAACGACACAATTCTCATGCGGGGAAGAGGTATCAGCAGACTTGGGGGAATGGTGTAGTGTGAAGAAGGGGGGGGGGATGCAGTCTTATGAGTTTAGAGGGACAATCTGGGTGGTATTCTTGGGTCCGTTCCCCCTCCAGGACTCCTGTGACCAGGGAGGGTTAGGATGTAGTAGAAGACACTGCTGAACTGGTCATACAAGTTTCCTTGTAAGGAAAATGGCCTTAGCCGACCACTTAAGTGTTCTCATCAGCTTATCAAAAAGTGAGCTAAGTTGCAATAGCTACAACTAGTTGATGGTGCTCTCCAGGAACTCGGGGAGGCATTTTCCCACTCCTCATACCTGGCTGGATGATACAGCATCCTAGGACGAAGAACGATAGGCCAAAGGGAGCTGGATATGGGAGAGCTGTGTGAGACAGTTGTACTGATGCTAAAAGCTGGAGGGACAGAGACATGTCTGCTCTGTGCTGTATCCAAAGCTGGATTTGGGGTTCTCCTGGTAAGCAAATAGGGAAGCAAGTTTTGTTGGAGTGCCAACACTAGGAGCCCCTCCATGTGATACTCAGTTTGTATATATGTGTAAATAAAACCATATATCCTCAAGACCCAACAGTCTCTGTTGACCTTCATTCCAAGGAAACTGGACCCTGGGTAATGAACTAGAATCTCTTACTGAGATTGCATTTGAGGGCAGGGGGAGCCCTGAGAGGGGAAACCACCAATAACAGCCCAATGTTGACACAACTTGCTTGGTTGGCATGGAATACTAACAGACTGTGAGGGAGAAATGGAAAGTTGCAGGGAAGAAGAGAAATGTATTGGAGTATCCTGGAAAGGGCATGTCTATCTGTCTGGAATGCTGAACACTATAGCTTCAGAAGAGAGCCTTCAGAATGGAGCCCTGTAAATGGAAACGAGACAATAGAAGATAATCTTATATGCTTTCTGTGGCAACATCTCACTTTAACTCCTACAGAAGGCAAGTGGCATTTCATTGTAGGACAATCTTCTCTAAAGCTACTTATTGTATTATTTTATCTTCTTTGGTTAAAGGGCGAGCTAACCACTGGTCTGCTATCATTGGTGGGTCTCATTCAAAGAACTACGTACTTTGGGAATATGGAGGATATGCAAGTGAAGGAGTTAAACAAGTTGCAGAGCTTGGATCACCAGTAAAAATGGAAGAAGAAATTCGGCAGCAGGTAATTGTCATTTAAATTATTAAAACAAAGAAAATCATTTAAAAATGTATAGGTGCCAGGAGCTGAAAATGTGAATCAGGTTTGAAAGATCTTGCTACTATTAGGCTTCACTGTTTTAGCAAACCTTAACAAAGTCAATAAAAGTTTTCCTGGCTAATGATTTTAAGATTTAGCCCTGTGACTGAATATTCAGTAAAGAGCGTCTTCTGATTCACTCTCTTCTTAATGAAAACATTGAACTATTGACTTTACTTATAGCTTTGACTTAGGACTGTTCTGTACATGTGTGCATTTTTCGCAGATCAATGTGCAAATGATCTGCAGCATCTGCATATCATACACAGGGAGAAATAAGTATGGCATGTGAATTACTGCACTTTATACCATCCCAGATTGGAAAAAAAGGGTCAATTTTATGGGTGAAAATGAAAAGTGCGGTAGCAGATGGTGTCTGACTTCTGGGAATAGGTGTCAAATAAAGCTAGGCTTATACAAACTAAGGTTTGAAAAATCAGTGGTGCAATCCTGAACTCTCACTTGCCATTTTTGTATAAGTAACACGTAAAATATTAAGTACAGAAGAGTGACCGTAATTAAAGATAGCTAATTCATCTTCAGGGGCCTGTGCATTTAGTCGGGAAATGAGATCCCACTCTTACTGGAATCAGTGTCTCTGCTTGTATTTGTTCCCTTTCCTGAAACTTAACCAGTGAGTCTGTTATCTATTGCAAGTGTACAGAAAATAGCAGCATGAATGAAGGGACTATGGGACTTGCAGTTGTTTTTTAAGAGACCACGGTTTGTATCCATTGCTTCACATGTGTAGTTCCAGTGGCACAACGGGGCTTCAATTTCCTCTCCTCCAACAGCATGCCCCCCCCCACATCTGCTCTGCAGGTGTCTCCCAGACAGCAGGAGGAGTGGACTGAAGGGGACAGGAAAGGAAGAAAAAGCACAGGGAAGTCCATTGTGGCAATAGAGCTACAGCTTAGGATTTGGGCTCTTATCTCAGTCCCTCAAATATGAAGTCCTAAAGTTTTAATAGAGAAATATTGATGTCACATATAAAGTCCCATGGAGTCGCTGTATCAGGGAAAACACTGGGAAAGGCAGATTTCTTTTTAAAAACTTTTAACATACTGTGCATGTCCTGTTTTTAAAAAATGTTAAATCGTGAATATAAGATAGTATAATATAGATTGTTGTGATTCTGGAAGTCTCTGCTCTAGTGTCTAATACATCATTTGAAATGAAGCTGGTAAGTTTTTGCTGGCTAAATACCTTGCTATTAATTTTTGCTTCGATATTGGATTGCTGCCTATAATTTCATGGAATTATTGCGAAATAATTAAATAGGAGTTATGCTCACTCTCATATGAATCTTGATATAGCTAATTTCTCACTTAGAAACCCACTACACTTTGTCCCTCTAACCTCTTACTGAAGTGTTTTCTAAAAAGTATCTGACAACACCATTAAATATTTGTTCACCTGCTTTATTCCTATCTCAAATAATAATTTTTTTAAAAAAGAAGCTTAAGAGAAAAGGGCTTTGATTAAGCTAATATTGTTAATATACCTATCTAACATGATACGATAAACATGTAGCAAAGTTAACTTTTGGAGTCTCAAAGCACTTATATTGGAAGTCACAGGTGGAAAACTCAAGTCTGACCTAAAATCAAGTGACTTATTTGTAGAAATCCATTGTTTAGGAAATGCTGACATGTAGGTGATGCAAGTCCAAATGCTGTAATGAGATAAACTTCCTTCTTTTGACTTCTTCATTCCAGACAAATGTGTTCAAGCTTAATGGAAGTTACTTGATTTCCCCACTCTCCCTCACAGTTGTGGAAGCCATATTTGTGTGGGTTTTTTTTCCACCCTAAAAGGGTGGGATATAACTTATTTATTTATATAGACCATTTATAGCATGCCCTGCATCCAAGGATTTTGGGGTGGGTAACAGCAAAATTCAGCTAAAATACCACATCCATCCATAAGATCGTAAAAACGCAAGCCTGCCTGGGGGTTTCCCACATGAATGTGGTTGTCCACTTTGGGAAGAGGATAATGGTCTAGATGGGTCTTTGGTCTGATTCAGCAGGGCTCTTATTTTGTTTTTGTGCTCTTGAAGACAAAATTTCTGACGTGGGGTGCCCATGTGTCCTGCTTAAGAGAGGAGTAGAATCACAGAACTGTAGAGTTGGAAGGGACCCAAAGGGTCATCTAGTCCAAACTTCTGCAAGATAGGAAACACAGCTAAAGTATCCTATTTTAAGATATTCTTTATTTAAGGTGTGGCTAATCTTTGGCTTGCCAGGTATTGCTAGACTACACAACTCCCTGGCTCTTCACCACGCTAGCTGGACCTGATAGGTATTTGAGTCCAACAATATATAGAGGGCCATAGCTTTGCCACACTTGCTCTGTTTGAAGGACTGCCTTGTGATTCGTCCAAGTCCAGCCCAAAGACAAAGACATAGCTGTCAACTTTTCCCTTTTTTAAAGGGAAATTCCCTTATTCCGAATAGGATTCCTCGCAAGAAAAGGGAAAAGTTGACAGCTATGGTTAAAGAACCATAAGAAGGAAAAACTGGGACCTTGAAGTTTCCCATCAATCTGGACAGCAAACTGAAGAGGCACACAGACCAGACTGAGAGGGTCTTCCCCACTTCAGTGAGATGTATTATATTTCAGCTTAAATTATGCAAATCCTTTCTAAATTTATCTCTGTATCTCTAATTCGTATATGCAACTTCTGGCAAATCAGTGTACTCTTCTGTCATTTTTATTTGGTGATTCTTTTTGACAATGTGTATGTAAGTGGCCATCTCAGAGATCACATGTCAACTTGGGTTTTGTACCGTACAATGGTCCCTCAATTACAAAACACGAAGATTTCCCCATCTATAAAGTAATCCACCTTCAGAATGACATAATTCTCCATTTTATGACATGGGTAAAAGAAGATATCAAGAAAATTATTTGCTGGGCTGTACAAAAAAATAAAAATAAAGGCTCAGGAATCTGCATCACGGAATGGCAGAACAAGGAGCTACATATGGCAATTGAAGGCAGTGGCTGACCCCCAGGGCTAAATCCGAGTATTTGATATGCATAGGTGGCTCTTGTTATCTTCAAGGAGAGCTTCTGTCTGTGATTCAAGCAGGAGAAATTTGTACCCAGGAGTCTTCCCTCAGGCTATACTAAGGTTTTGTGCTAAATGCGTCCTGAGCTAATACTTCCAGGCTTGAATTTAAATGGGGACTCGTTTTCATATATCAAATGTGAAATGAATGAATAATTGAATTCCCCTGGTCTCACCCAGGTCTGCTTAGCTAAGCAAGAAAAGTGTGTATGCCCATAAGGTAAAGCTTGGCCATTAGAGTGAAATACTGTGCTTCTAATGTGACTTATTTCATTTCCCATAGGTGCATAATGGGTGCTGCTTAGGGGATAACTAGAAAATGCAGAGGATGTGTGTCTGCACTCAAAATAGCAGCCTTTGTGTTTTCTCTCTTCTCTCCTTTTGCTCCCAGTGATGTCTAATAATGCACAGTTTGTGATGTGACAGTATCACTTGCAGAGCTTTCCCTGCTTTTGCTTCACTTCATTGGTCATCTCTTTGGGGATAAAGAAAACGGAGCATGGGTGTTTTGGTATAAATCCGTGTATAAATCTAGATATTTTTGAGAGACAACAATGCATTAATGACTACTAGTGAGAATGGCTATATAATACGATATCATAGGCAGGATGCCTCTTAATGCTGATTACTGGGGAACAACAGTGTGAGACTGTATATTTCTTTCCAGGTTTTAGTTTAATTTTTAAGAACCACCTACAATTGTAACTATATAAGCTGTTTCAGATGGGGGTTATTTCTAGCCCCCCGTCTGGGGGTGCCAGGGATTGCACCTGAGACGTTCTGCAAGCAAGGCAGATGTTCTAGCTCTGAATATCCATGCAATGCAGCAGAAGATACAATATTAAATTTGGGACTTGTGCATTAAGGTGTTTTGTTTTTGTTCTTTCTGCAACACCTTACCTAAAGTTTGAAGTGACAAATATATCAATATATCCTCAGAAAAATCTGAAGAGGTCAAAGTTAAGTGCAAGGTTATTTTTTCTCTTTTTTTCTTTTAAAAAAAGTTACCACAAGATTGCTGGTGCAGGTGATGTTTTTATATGCCAGGCATCGTGGTTAACTAGGTTGTGTTCAGACATGCCAGGGGTACATGACTGGATTAGATGAAGGCCCCTCAATGAACTGCATGGCTGAGCTGCGATTTAAAGGATTCCCTGCACCCAGACCTAGCATGCTTACAAACCCATACTAATTATGCCACAAAGGAGAGGAAAAGCAGTTTTCCGAATGCTGAAACATGTTAAGTTTCCTCAGAGTCAGTGTGTAGGGTTGGCTATAGAAATTTACTAGTGTGGTGCAGGGGAGAGGAGTCTGGCAAGAGTTGGTGGATGACATTGTGTGGTACTCTGCAAGGAAAATTTGGTTCTAGTGCCACTTTGAGGCCTTGGGCAAGAAGTTCTGCAGTGCTTCTGGATCAGACCCGTAATGTGTTGTTATCCTTACATGAGGCAAAGATGAGGTCATGTGATATGTTTGACAGCCAGTATCTAGTAAAGTTATATATGTTGCTTGTATTCAAAAGTACAGATTACTATAATTATATTAAACCGTGCAAATTTCCAACCATTTGATAAACATTAAAATGTTCTTTATGTAAGTGCCACTAAATTCTGCAGATGTGCTTAGGTTTTTGTTTTGTTTTGTTTTGCATATACATGTAAATTGCCATCTGTATTGGGATGTTATAATTTTACCTTCTTGGGTGAAAAATCACCACCTGACTGCTTGTTGTTGGTTAAAGTTAAATGCCTTGTAAGATAAATTCAATAACTCAAGGTTGCTTTACCCTTTGATTGCAACAACTATTGATTGCTATATGAGCTTTGTTTGCACTTGGTCCAATAAGCGA